GAGTGAGTCTGTGACAAAAAAAGTCTTAAAAGAAGTTAAAAAAAAATAACAAGCACACACACACATGATGCACTCACACATGATCCTCTCTCTCTCACACACAAACATGATTTGTAAATTACACACTCACATACCCTACTGAGTCAGTTTGCTGTACTGTAGGCTGTGTCTAGAATCTAGATCTAGATCTAGAGGAGAGTAGATTCTACACACAGCACAGGATGTTGCCTAACCTAGACTAGCCTAGAGCCAGAGGTTACGAGAAAGAAACATTATTTTGGTAAGGACTTCTGTAACGAGCAACCACCCCATCAAACACAATAAAGAGGCCTAGATCTAGACCTAGACCTAACCCTACCCTTACCCCTACCCCAAGCCCTCAATTCTGCTCTGTCTCATAGTGGTTGCTCGTTACGGAAGTCCTCCCTTATGCCTTATTTTGAAATTTCGGGTGTATGATTATGAGGCATTTTTTGAATTTTGACACGGTAAGACGTAAGTAAAAGTAAAAGTGTACCTCGCCTCGTGTAACATACCTGGCCTTGAATTTGTACTTTGCTGCTTCTTTTTCTTTCCTCTCATGCTTAACTTTTACCAGGCTCAGGGTTATATCACCTGGGTTAAATTGATGAGCAGAGAAGACGTGTGATTGTAAAAGAAGGAAGAAAAGAAAGGAAATAGTGAGGGAGAGCGGAAGAGACGCGTGAAGATTTGTTTATTTGGGTTTCCAGTTTGGTCAAATCTGGCGGTCTTCCTCCGCGCATGCGCTCTACTCGTTTTCCTTTCCTGGTGGATCTTTGAGAGTAGCTTCCCTTATTTGTGTTGGCGAGGTAAACAATCCACGGGGAGATCGGTGACCACTGGCCAGTGGCATTGAGCACCTTTTGTCCCATCCACGCAAACAAGAGACATTAAGGAATTTGAGAACGTATGTAATTGCTGTATCTTAGGAGGGTTTCAATCGCAGAAATCAATAAATTATGTTCAATCATGCTTCGTTCTATTGTAGCAGAAGCTGCACCAGGAACTCTTTTCATCTTCCACCTTAGCCTTAGCAACGAATTTAGAAAACGTGCGCACTCACTTTCGCCGAAAGTTGACATACCACATAGAATTAATCAATATTTTCATTAATCTTAGTTTTTTCCCCTGCCTTTTATTGAGCCAGGAGCAAGTTTTATCATTTAAGTTTTGGATCTGAATACAGGATGATTTGTTGAGCATTTGTCGTAATTGGGCCAATGTTAAAATTAATAAAATAAAGTATAAAGCCTACTAATGCAAAATTAATTGAAAATAACATTTGGACTTTTGAAAAGAATGGAAAGCAAAACTTTCTAACTAAAAACACAACAATTTATGAAGTATAGTTCAAACTTTATAAACATTAATTTGGTGGCTATAGAAAACACCTTGACCTTTTGCTTCAATATATAATATATATAGGCTTGTGCCTTCCATAATTGTAGTTGTTTGTTTGGGTTTTAAAAAATATTTATGTACACTGACTGTGAGCAAAAAAAAAGTAAAATTATAACACTAATTTCAATGCTCAAAATTAAACAGTGATTTACTTTGTCAAATCTCATCTGAGTTGAACCATTATGATTCTTAAGCATAATTTTTCGAATCCTTGCTTCATAAATAATATCTCCCATTTGGTTTGATTTTTAGCTACTCAGCATCACAGATCACCCGTTTGGGATGGGTTCTATCAAAATTTGTTTTTGACATTTTATAGATCTGTGCATATAACTTTATTAATGGTTATTATCTAAACCATTGTTTACGTTTTCCAGGAAAGAATGGCATCTTCTGCAGGCTTTGAAGAGAGCATTAACAGCTTTACCCACTCTAAGACAGGGGAAAGAATCTACTTAGACCTTGCTACAGAGAATGTGATTAACGTGAGGCCACTGTGTAAAAGAGGCTCTATCCCCCTTGGTGCTTTGTGGGTGCATGTTCTTCAGCATGCCAATAATTATCCGGTAAGTGAGATTCAAAATATAGAGTGTAATGCAAGCGTTTTGTTGTAATTTTTTTTTTTTTTTGCTTTTATTATCTTGGATGTTGTTTTATTTTTCATTTTTTAAGCTGTCTTGACTGATGAGTAGGCATTTAAATCAAATGCATACTTCACAAAGATTAAGAAGACAGCTTAAATGTGTAAAATAACTAGATTTCTTGGTTTTACCATCACAACATACGTCTTACTTTTGCACCTATGGGTATATATAATATTATAATGAGCTTTCATATATTTATCTTTGGTCCTAATGAGCTGGGATAAGGGGACTTCACTGGGATGAGGTCTCAGTCTAGTTGTTAGCTCAGGCTGTCCCCGCAGTTTTATGCAAAAAAAACCCTGAAATTATGCAAACTGAGCCCAAAAATGTGAAATTATGCGATTCTGTTAATTTTAACAAAGAATGATAAAGGAAAATATTCAGAAATTATGCCAAAAATGATCAAATTTTGCTAAATTATGCGGGGTGCATAAAACAACAGGGACAGGCTCAGGCTCACAACTAGTGTGAAATCATGTCAGTGACACGTCATTAACGAAATCAGTGGTCACTCTTTAAAGTGTCCCTGAGCAAGGCAAGTTAATTAACTTTAGCTAAAGAAAATGGGCTGCTGCATACTATGGCAATAAAAAATGATATGTTTGTTTTGTCTGTCTTCAGATATATAGGGCCTACTAAGTAACATATGTGGTGTCAATATGTATTCTCTGAAGGTATTTACTGGTATGCATTATTTTTGCATGTGCATCCCAGATTTCACAATAAGAATCATTAAAAGTGGTATTTTTATTAATTAAAAAAACAAACATACATATTTTTAATTTTATCTTTTATACCTTTACACTTCAATCATTTTCCATACTATACTTAAAGCAAATGAGGTTACTGATAAGATGCTAAACTTTACAAAGGCCTGATTATGGGGTATATATATGTAACATTATTATTGTGTGGTAAGCAAAGAGCTGAAACACTTTTAAATGGGGGGGAAAAGCAAAAACTCATTATCACAAGATAAGAAAAGTATTTATGGGATTTAATTTTTAAAAAGGTATCTTTTGAAGAAGAACATACATGTTTTAGTTCATATATATATCGATAGTGTTAACTCCACTATGTTAAATAAAGAAAAAGTCAACTCTTTTTTTTTGGTGATAACTAACCGTTGGCGAATATCTATCTGAGTCCTCAATCAAAATCAGGAGTTACCAAGTTCTCTGAAGTGCATAAAAATACTCTGAGCTAACCTCTTTGTTTTTTCTTATCATGTGATTTTTCAGAGGGGGGGG